AAGAAAAGAAAGCTGTTTTGGGCTCTCAGCTCAGTGAGGGAGAATCTGTTAGGTTTGGGGGCTTCTCATTCTTTAAGCCCTCGTTTAAGCATGAGCAGTGCCGGGCCGGCTCCTAGCCGCCCTGCCCACCGCCTGCATGCGGGGGGGCACCTGGGCTTGTCCACTGGACAGACCCCGGGGGGCCCTGCGCGGCCCCAATCCCGTGCTGGTGCCGACCTGCAGAGCAGTGGCCGGCGGGGGTGGGAGTCCCTGACGGACCTCCCGCCGAGTCCCCGGGCCCCGCCAGGGCTCGCGGAGAGCTGGGGCCGGGGCTGCCCGAGTTTCTTTGTTGGTCCCTGACCCTTCGGAGTGGCTGAACCTTTTCCCTTAAAAGGTGGGCTTTGCAAAGTGCAGCTGCGAGCTCACCTCCGCCCTCGGGCGGGCTGACGCGGCCGGCTTCCCCGCGTTTCGGGGCAGCCCGGGTCTTGATTTATGCAAAATGGCACGCTCGGTCCAGAAAGTTCTAGCTTGCAGCTCACAGGCAAATTCTCGTGTGCGTGCACCTTTGTTTTTCTAATTCGGAGCCTCGGGGGCCCGAGCAGCTCAGCCCACACGAGGAAAAGTCGGCGGCTGCTTTGTTCTGAGACCAGACAGCAGTCGATCCTGGAGGACGTGGGCTGCGGAGACGGGCGCACGCAGCGGCGGGAATGAAAACATTTCCGTGACAGCCACGTCCCGCTGCTGCAGGCGGCAGGCGCGGGCCACCCAAATATTTAGCAAGCCCCCCATGAAACACCGGGGACAAAATAAAAGTCAGAGAAAGAAACAGCGTGTCTTACACTTTAAAGGCAAGTGAGCCAGAGGAGAGAGAGGCGTTTGGAGGTGGGGGGTGCTAGTCATTTTTAAAAGCACTTAATACTTTTTAATAGCTGCCCGCTGCTCATCTCTGTTAATTTGACTTTTTTTTTTGGTGTAATTAACGCAGGTGAAAGAGATTTTTAATCCTAAATCCTGGAATGATAGGTAGGTAGTCACATTTTCTGAGTATTAACTCATCTTCTTTTTGGACAAGGTGGGGCAAGTTAGCATAAAATCAATTAATTTCCATAAATGAGCGTTTTCGTTCTGAATTAGTATTTTGCACGGAGATGAGGCTCGCCTGCCTCATGGTTTTAATGTATGTGGCTACCACCTTACCCAGCAGGAACAGTGAGCTTGCCGAGGCGAATGGTCAGTGACCATCGTAGCTCTTAACTTGGGTGAAATCAGTAAAATAGACCTCTTCCCCAAATCAGTGAAAAATTCCGTAGACTTTTTGTTTTTTTATTTTTGTAAATCAGGCAGAACCTCAGCATTCTCCACTACACCCGCGACTTTCAGCATGATTTTTGTTTTTTTTTAAAGAAGCCGCACGCATAGCAGTTTTCACATTGTCGCTTCTATATAAACTCCGCTGTGGACCGAAGTGGCCCGTTCTCACAGCACAGATGGGCGGTCTGGCGGGCTCCGGGCCTCGGCCACACGGCCTGTTTCGATGGTGGAGCCGATGGTTTGGGAGATCGGAGGTCAAAACAAACAAGTTGCCTCCGAGGCGAGGAGCAGCCTGACCCAGTGACCTTCCCGCTCCCGAAAAATTCCGTCGGGGAACACGATCCCCTCCATTAGATTTTAATTTAAATTTTGGTCTTTATCTCTGCCTTTTGAGACAGCACATGACCTCGGTCAAAGGACCTGCCGTGTCTTAATGAGTTACCAGTTTTTATCTTGTTCTGCAGCGTGGGCCACTCTAACCCTGGGTTGAAACTCAGCGTTGTGGGGTGTGGGCAGGGTTAGATTGTGCTGTCTTCACAGTGTCGCAGGCCGGACATTGGCTGTCGGGGTGTTGTATGTACAGCCTTCCATAAAGTCATTTTGAGACTTTTATGAAAAAACAGCTGGTTAAATATTTGGCACGGTCTAAAGGTACTTTAAAATCCAAACTAAAAAAAAAAAAAAAAATCAACAGGTAACTACAAAGAGTAGCCATAAACTTTAAAAAAATATATCTTGCCAAGATAAAGTGCACCCTGTATCGGTCCCTATCGCCACCGGGCGGGCAGAGCACTTTTACAGCCACAATCATTGGCAAACGCCGGTGACTGTTTATTTTGTGGATTTGCTCACGTTACGGTGTTGTAATCAGCTCCGAGGGCTCCTCACCGCCCCCCCTCCTGTTTTTAAGTGTTTGCCGCTGCATCTCTAAGTCCTGGATTCCTTTCCTGTTCCCAGCCCCCAGTCCCCAGCCCCGGGGCCCCTTCCCAGGGTGGGGGGCAGCTGTCCGTGCCTCCAGCAGGCCGGCTGGGCTGCGTCCTGCAGAGTAAGTCCAAGTTGGGCTGCGGCTTTTTTTGAGGCTTTTTTAAGGGACGTACCTGTTGGTGGAGACGTTGGGGAATGGAAGGAACAGTTAATGGCATTTGCCAGCCCCGTTGGGGAGCCAATTTCCCGGATTTTTAAAAACTCTTTCGTCCTTTCCGACGGGGGTCCTTTAAGCCTGTGGTCGACCCTGTCTCGGCATCTGAGTTGTATTTCTCATCCGGGTCGGGGCTCTGGCCCTGGCCCGGGTCCGGGGGCTCTCGACGATTCGGGTCAGTCTGTTCCCTGGTCAGGGCGAGCTTCACCTCGCTGTCCCTCCTTCCCCATCTGTGCAGTGGGCCAGCACGTGTCCCGGCCTCACGGTGACACACGGACAGCACTTAGCACACGCCAGCTCACACAGAGCCCTTCAGAAACACCTGGACGCAAGGGCTGTCCTCAGGGCCGTTCCTGGGGGGTGGGGGGGGCACCAAGCTCAGGCGAGTGAGTTCCCCAGAATCAACCCGCTGCTGAGGGCTGGCACGGGGTTCGCACGCGGGCCTGCGTCCTCCAGAACCCGTACTCATTCTGCGTTCCCTGAGCGCGGACACGGGTGTCCACGTGGCGGCCGGATGCGGATGGCTTGCTCTCTGCGCCGTGGCCTGTGCGTGGAGCACATGTGCGTGGACACACAGGTGTCCTGTACTCGGGGTACATGGAGGAACTTGGGTGCAAGAGAAACTTGGTGGGTTTGAACCATCACGGCTTCCAGAGGTGGACGGGCGATCAGTGGCCATGTGTCTGCCTGGGGTTGGCCGTGGGCCACCCTGGGGCCGCCAAACAGCCAGTGGGGGGACAGCCACCCCCGTGTGGGGGCGTTATTTTTATCTTTCTTAGCTATGAGTGGTTTGTCATTTTGCTCTTAGTATGAGGGGGACGTGGTGGTGGGGGGAGGGCTGATGAGCCAGCGCGATTGCCCAGCCCGGCCTTGGACAGGAGGCCTGATAAGAACCATTCGCCCGCACGTAGGCTCACGTCTCTGCCGTTGACATGGGGGCAGTGGTATTGGCCTGGGGGAAGGGCCCGGTGCTGGGGAGGCCTGTTGGGGGCCCGGTTGGGTTTCCCCCTCTGTGGCCTCCTAGGGAGAGGCCTGGGCGGGCAGTTGACCTACCTGGGCTCCCCATCTGGAGAGGGAGGGGTCGATGGCAGCCTCGGGTTTCGGGGAACTACATGTGGCCCCGCATGGGACCGTGTGGGTGGGCTGGGGAGCAGGGCCTCGACCTCTGGCCTCTGGGACTTTGGCCTCTGAGTGCGGGGTCTGGATGGGAGGTGGGGGCAGGGCTTGCAAACCCCCAGGAGGCTTGGGGGTGGGGCCACCTCTGGCCCAGTTTCCTGGGAGCCCAGCCCAGCCCCGAGATTCCTGCGATGGGTGTGCCCAACTTCCGGCCGGGTGTGGGCGGGCACAGGGGTCCTGGAGGCAAAAAGGCCGTTCCCGCCCTGCCCGCCGCCAGAGCCTGCTGGTGCGCGCCACGGAGAACTTGCTGGGACGAGGACTCCCTCCCAGCGCCATGTGCGAGGTCCAGGTGAGCAGCTCTGCCCAGCGGCTGGGCCCAGAGGGGAGCCGGGTCCTGGAGAGGTGCCCGCAGCCGGAGCCTTCTTTGTGCACAAAGAGTGAGCCGTCCAGTGCCAACCCGCACAGGCTCCCAGCCTGGATGGATGGGCCCCCCGGGCCTCGGGCCTCAGTCCCGGGTGCTCCGACCCCAGAGGAGAGCTCTGCCCCCCAGAGGGAGTCACACCCGGACGGACGGCGACCCACCGGGCCTTCGGGACCCATGTGGAAGCAGCCTTCATCCGGGCGCTCCACCACGGCCCACACCAGAGGGAAAGGTGTGGCCGCCAGGGTCCCGGTCCGCAGCCCGCTGCCGGGGGAGGGGGAGCGGGACCAGCTGGGGCAGAGCCTGCTGCCTGGGCTGAGGAAGCCCAGGGGCCCTGCCGGGCTGAGGGCTGCAGGCCTGTGTCTCTGAGTGCCTGCAGCGGGACCATGGACAGCGCATAGTGTGGCCGCAGCGGCGGGAAGGAGGGAGGGACTGGCCGGTTCTCCGTGCTCCCGTGGGAGGCCAGGGGGATGTTGGAGGTTGTGCCCGGCTGCTCTCAGAAGCTCTGCAGAGAGCCCGCCTTCCCGTCAGTGAGAGAGAAACTCCGGGAGGCTGGGGGGCACCGAGCAGGGACCTCTCCGCAGCCCCGGCAGGGTCTCAGAGCCTGCGGGCGGGGGAGGGGGGGTCTCCAGATTCTTCCTGTGGGGTCTCAGGTCTCCTTGCAGACGTCCACCACTCCCCCTTGGAGGCACTTATCTGGGGGGAAGGCAGGGGGGTCATGCCTGGGCCTGAAGCTGGGTCCTTGTGCTGCAGATGTCCGGGGTCTCAGTGTGCGGGCTCCTTCAGATCAGGGCAGAAGGAGGTGCCCGGTGGCCACGGCCAGGGCCAGGCTCAGCCCCTGCAAAACCAGCCCTCCTGGGCAGAGCCCTGCGGGTCCCCGTGAGACGGCTGTGGGGCTCCTGGCCCTGATCCCCCGAGTTCCCGGTGCCTCAGAGGCGCTCAGCCCCCCCAGGTTCCCGGGGGGGGGGCC